ACATTAGAGTATAACCTGTAGTTAATTAGTACTTATTATTTTTTTATTTAATTTGTTTGTGTCTGTTTTCATGATTGGTGTTGGTCTTACACCTTTATTAGTTTTATGGATTACAATTGTATTGTCCTCATAAGGTAAATCAAGAATTACTTTTTTTCTCTATGTATTCCTCAATAACTTTCAAGTTTGAATTTGTTTAAATGCTTGATAAAACTTGCATGTCAAATCTATGTCTCAAAAAGTTTTATTTCTGCTTTGCCATGAATTTGGATATGGTATTGTTATTTGGATATTTCAAGAAATGTGTTTCTTTTATTTAGGTTATTGATATTACAGGAAATAATTTATTGAAAGAATGAATTTTCATTTTAATGTTTGTAGTGTTTAGTGATATTTTCTATTTTATTACTTATTCTTGTCTTTTCTGACTTACATTTTTTCTATGTATTACTATTTCTGCCTTATCCTTAGTGTGTAGGTTTTTCTACTCTTATTTTATACTTCCATCCATTATGTTTGATCCTACTCTCTCCTTTTCTTCACTTCTGAAGGAAGTAGTTTAGCCCATTGGTTTACTTTATGCAAACAAAAATTAACAAAACCAGTTTCCATATAATACACAATTATCATGGAAACACAAAATGGATCTTACACTTGACCCATTTAAGAGATAATATAATTCTTAACATATTTTGAAAAAAAGTATGTCCTCCTACAATAACTTATTTAAATTTAAATTAAATTATAAAACTTATATAAAATCCTAAAGTTTAAGATATTAATCGACTGTCATTTTAAAATTCCATAAGCTAATAGGAAAAAAATTCACAGTAAGGTCCAAACATGTTGTAAATACAAGTAAAATTGCAGCAAGATTACTGCTTAAAGAGAAATTTACAAATTAAATCCACATATTTAAAGACAAATATGCTTTAAAATTTATAAAATGTCATATGATGAAATTTAAAAAATAGAAAAAAAATTTAAGGAAGGAAATGATAATGGTAACAACAGGGGAAAAGAATAAGTATGTATAGATTAAACTCACTATAATTTATATTATCCAAGATATAGTTGTGCAACAAATGCAAATTAGATTAATCATAATGACTGAGATTCCATGCTATAAACATGCAGTCTAACAAATTTCCATCTTTAGTAAATCACATATCATTACTATGACCACAAACTTTTGATGTGTTATTGAGATTTATTATTCAGAAGAAAAATCTGTGCCACCCGCTTGCAGATTACTTTATTTTTTATACCATAGACAATAGGGTTGAGTGCAGGCGGCACGAGTAGGTAGATGGTAGACAGAAGAATGTGGGTAGAGGGAACAACATGCCCAAAACGGTGGCTGAAGAATGAGAAGAAAGCAAGAATATAAAACTCAAGAAAGACAAACATATGTGGCACACAGGTGTTAAAAGCTTTGAGCCGTGCCTCTTTTTGAGGTAGAAGAAAAACAGCCTTGAAAATAAGGACATAGGAAACAAGGATAAAAACCATGTCAAATCCCAGGATCGTAAAGCCAACAAAGAGACCACATATTTTATTGACACGAATGTCTTCTGCAGCCAGCTTGACCACAGCCATGTGCTCACAGTAAGAATGAGCAATTACAGTCGAATGGAAAAGATGAAGTCTTTTGATTAGAATGGGTAGGAGACCAACCAGCACTGTTGCCCTGATGGCCACCACCACCATCATCCAAACCAGCACAGAAGGTGTAAGGATAGATGTGTGTCTTAACGGGTCACAGATAGCAACATAGCGGTCAAAGGCCATTGCCAGCAGGATACCAGATTCCATGCACTGTAAAGTGTGGATGAAGAAGAGCTGAACTAAACAGGCATTAAAGGCCATGGAGAAAGAGGCAAACCAGAAGATAGCCAACATCTTGGGAGCAATGGCTAAACAGAGCCCAACATCAGTGGCAGCCAGCACTGCCAGGAAGATGTACATGGGCTGATGGAGGCTGCGTTCTGCAGGAATGACGACCAGTAAAATTATGTTTCCCAGAAGAGCTACCACACACACTGCCAAGAAGGAAAAGCCAATCCAAAATTGTACATGCTCTAGTCCAGGAATGCCAATCAGAGTCACTGTCTTGGGGTCCAGATATGACAAGTTGAAGGATGCCATGGAGATTAGTGATATTTCTTCTCATCTGTCATTCTGAAAACTGCAGAAGAAGATGTAATGGTAAATAAAATAAAACAAACAAAAAAGCAAACCACATGATATCATTATCATTACAATATACTGTATATTGAACAAATACTTATTGTTTAACATTGTAATTTTAACACATGATCCTGAGGTTTATATACCTGTGAGTATAGTAGATGCAAATACTTTTGTAATACCTTCACTACAGCCAATTTTAGAAGTTCGAAAAAGGAGAAGTCTCAAAATTTCTCACTTAATTCTTGTGGAAATGTGAACCATGATTCAACATTATTCTTTTGTCTCTTTCATGAGCTCTGGACTGTACTGCCTGACAAGGCACTATTACCCTTTTCTTCAATTATGTTTAGATTCTAGTCCAAATTTAGTACATTTGCAATTTACCCTGGGATCTGTGAAGTCCCTAAAGAGATTCTGTTCCTGTAGTCCTTTCATGCATCAATGCATAGTCCTTTGAGAGCTTCCAGGCTCTTTCACTGCTCATCATCCCAGAGATGTTTATTCTGTGGCCATTCATTAGGGTTTTCTATTTTTTCCTGAGTCTTTGGAATGGATTTTGACAAGGGGTTTGTTGGGGAAGAGTTGGCTTTTCTTATATTCACTCACGCTTTTATCAAAATTATCAAACCTACATGACAGAGCAGTAAGTGTTGTTTTAGAGATTTAAAGAGAAAGGTAAACTTTCAAAGGATGACAGGTGGTTGGTTTACTCATCTACCTTTAGGATTTAGAGTGAATATATTGAGTAGAAAAAGGAAAGAAGATAGATGATATTTCTATGGGGATTTAAGGGATTAAAAAGAAATATAAACATATATATATACACATACACACACATACACACATATATAGAGAGAGAAATAAGCAGAGTTCAAGAAGGAACAAAAAACATGACAGATTTTGCTTAAAAGTAAAATCTGATTAGTTAGTCATAGCCTGATTTTGGACTAACATTATTTTGTTTTGTTTCTCCAGAAGTCTAGGTCAATGAATCAATGTTTTTATATTTTAGTTAAGTTTTTGTATCTCTCTGTTTTGTTTATTACAGATTTATTGTTCTTTTTAACTCTGAACCACACCACAACTCCATGCTGTATGACTGTTGTACAATGAAATGTCTACGATTAATTATCTATAGTTTGAATCTCAAGGTTCTTTTCAATAAAATACCCAGCTCTGGGTATTTCAGTAAATACCCAGCTCCCTAGCACTTCAATATTATCCAAATTTGAAATGAGGTCTCTTTTAGAAGACTACAATTTCAAATGCAACATACATTTACCTCCATTTGGTATCACTCTTAATTGGTGGGAGAAAGAAGGACAATCTCCTCCTGTATAACTTACTGCCTCTGAAAACCTTCCAGAGGTTTAGCTATTAGTTGCACCAGAAACTCCTTAATATCTGAACCATTTGGCTTATTTTCTCTAATTTGTCCCTCTCTTAACACCTATCATCATTACTTCCTTTTATCTGGTCACTCTCTATTTCTGTATCTCTCTAAAGGTACACCTTTAGAAAATATCATACCTATATACGTATACTACTTTAAGCACTTTTACAGGACTTTCACCAGCATTGTAATCATCAATATGAATTGAAGCTCAATATCAAGAAAACAAAGATTTTCACCACTAGGCCAATTGACAACATCATGATAGATGGAAAAAAGACAGAGGTTGTTAATTTCAGCTTGTTCAGTTCCACAATCAATACTCTTGGCACTTCCAGTCAGGAGATCAAAAGAAAATTGCATTAGGAAAATCTGCTGTCAGTGGCTTATCAGTTGCTGAAAGACAACAATTCCAGTCTAGAGACTAAGATGTACCTGATGCAGGACATGATCTTTGTAATTAATTGCTACATATATGAGAGCAGGACAATAGAATATATGAGAGCAGGATTATAGAAGAAGAATGAATGCCTTTGAATTATTGTGCTAGGGAAAAGTATTGAACATACCACGGACTGCCAAGAGAATAAAAAATCTGTCCTGGAGAAGATAATACCAAGCTGCACCATGGAGGTCAGGATTTTGAAGCTTCATCTCACATACTTTTGATATGTTGCCAGAAGGAATAAGACCTTAGAGAGAAATATCATACTTGGAAAGGTGGATGGATAGTGCAGAAGAGGAAGACCTGGATTAAATATTAACTCAATGATGGAGTAATAAGATTAGGTGTGTCAGAGAGAGTGATATTGGCTCAGAGTAGAATAGGGTTCAGAGCTATTGTGTACAGGGTCCTTTGAATTGCAGGTGACTCAATTGTGCAAAACAATAGCAACAACAATTATTTTATATGACTATATGATAGTGATAAACTGAGATATCTTTGGTTGTGATTTTGTAACAATAATAATAAATAGTCTGTTTAAATTAGTGGATACAAGAGGTTATTTCCAGTCACTTACTAATAAGACAGATGAAATGCAATAGCAAAAGTACTTTATTGCAGATCTGGGAGACTAGAGAGAAGTCTCTCAAAAATTGCTTCCCTGTCTAAGGATGGTTATTGATTTTTATACTTAGATTAGGTATTAATCTACTTAACATATTATTATTGCTCTGGTGGCCTACTGGCAAGAAGCTGAGCTGGAATCCTGAAGGTATACAGTTTAAAGCCACCAGCTGCTCCTTGGAGAAGGATGGGCAATCCTCTCCCATGTGAATAAATGTCTTTGAAAACCCCCACAGGGTCAGTTATGAGTTGGGTCCTACTTGATTGTACACAAGAACAATAAAGTGATACTTCAATGTTATATTCAAAAGAGTAGTAACTTCTTACTAAACTAATAGTACTAAGCACTAATAAAAGAGTAGTTTCCTAATAAACAAGTAGTTTACTATTAAACAAAAGTAGTCTACTATTAAACTCCTAATGACTAGCAATTGCTGTTTTGTGTTGTCAAGTCACCTACAACTCATCGCTGACAGACAATGGCAAAGGACGTGCTGACAAAGAAGATCAATCAGAACTGGTTTTGACAAAGACTGGCAATATAGCAATAGAAATCAACCCTCCAGGAATGGGGGGCTACATGACAATAAAAACAGTCAGTCAAGGAATGTGGCAAAAAAAGACTCAAGAAAAACATAAATGAGATGGTCAAGGTCACAATATCCATTAAAAGGAATACACCATCAACTGTTTAAACTCCACTCCCTGCTATAAAAAGATATATAAACTTTTTTGCAAGATAAAAACAGTCAGTCTGTCCTGACCTGTTCATAGGCTGTTATGAATATCTAATAAACCTCAGTTTCTTTCTTGTTGGTATTTGGTGTCTTTCTTATATATCAGAGTCAGAACTTTCTAGTTCTTACTAGAAGAGGCCCCTGGACCTCTTTTGGAAATCATCCCCCTGACATAGCAACCCTATGTACAACAGCTGTGAACCCTGCTCTATCCTGAGCCAACCTCACCATCTATATTTGAAGTCTCAGCCTCATTTGCCATATATGTTAGTCTACTCTAAGTGTGCTCTACTGTACAGTCATTAGTAAATAGACAACTTGAGGTACAGTTTACATATGGCTGAGAAAAATGTAGTTCGAAAAGATAAACTTTTGTTCAGGAAAGAGGCATTCTCTTTTCCCAGTAAACAGCCTAAGGAAATCTGCATGACTATAGAGAAGTTTTGGATGCAAGAGTGACATCCACTTTCTAAATAACATGCCTCCCAAAAACCTATGAACTTCAAGAAATGTCAATAGTCATAGAGGGGCTTCAAGCCTTTTGTTTATACAGTCGCTGTGAGTTGTGCTGTACTCAAAGGCAATCAACAAAAACAACAACAACAAAAAAGTTCAACAGGATCTACGGAACAAACAAACGTTAATTAGATGTTTAACCAGTTGTGCAGGCTGGAATCCAGGATGCCAAGTTTTTAGAGTTTTATTATGTTTCAAAAATCATGTATTTAATACCACTCTACCATTGTGTTAGGATCAACTCAGTGGCAACAAATGTAGATTTTTTAAAAAAATAATTTAAGATAGTTTCAAAGTATAAATATTACTGAATGCAAGGAGTTCTTTCCAAGAGTCAATTGTCAATAAGGCACATGGATTGTAATATCCAAAGTACTTTATTACAGATTTGGGAAAGTGGTGAGAATCTTCTCAAAAAACTGCTCCCCCTACCTAGGATTAGTTCTTATAGTAAGGTTAAATATTAATATATTTAATGTGTTACTTTTGTCCCTTAAAGTAGCAAGATTTCTACATTTAAATAGATCAGTTTACACATAGTTACTAGTAAACAGATAACTTAAGAAACAGATGACACTTTTCTGAGAAAAACATTTTTGAAAAGGCAAATGCTAATTCAGGAAAGATGCAGTTTCCTTGCTGGTAAACAGGAAGCTTAAAGTACTTTACATGACTAAAGAAAGGAGGGGGACCAAAATTCTAGGGCAAAGTAATCAGTTTTGCAGGCTGGAGGCAACTGATGTCAGTTTTATAATTGATGTCAGTTTATTAACTGACATGTTTGGATAATCCTGAATATATTAATACTACCTAATCATAAACACCAAAAGAAGATGGAAGGAGTACACAGAGTCACTGTATCAGAAGGAATTGGCTGACACAGAGGAATTTAATGAAATAACATGTGAGCAAGAGCCTACAGTGATGAAGGAGGAAGTTCAAGTTGCTCTGAAGGAATTGGCAAAAAAACAAGGTTCCAGGAGTTGACAGCATGCTAATTGATTTATTTCAACAAACAGATGCTGCCCTGGGTGTGCTCACTAAGTTGTACCAAGAAATCTGGAGGACAACCAGCTGGCCAACTGACTGGAAGAGATCGATATTTGTTCCTATTGCAAAGAAAGGTGACCCAACAGAGTGGAAATTATCGAACAATATCATTGATATCACATACAAGCAGGATTCTGCTGAAAATTATCCAAAAATGTTTGGAACAATGTGTCAACAGAGAACTGCCAGA